GAATGCCATTTTGTAGATGTTGTGAGTTTTGTTGAGTTTAAGAACTTTTTTGTATTCTTTGGAAGATCTATGTATTTGGAAAATCACATTTCCTCTTTAAATGATATCTAAAAAGATTATTATATGTGTGGGTTGATATCATTTTTCAATTATCTTGGTGCCTCTTGACTCCCTAACCTTGCTTTATTCTGGTTGTGGTTCATATTTTAATTTTTGAATGGCTTCATTTTCTATTATTAAATTTGATTTATAACATGTACCCAATATCTATTATAAGTGTATGTATGCTGGTTGAATTGGGTCGGATTATGAGTTTTTTTTTCTTGAATCGATCGAAATTTTGGACTAACCCAAAATTCATAGACGATAATCAGTATCAACATCATCGATGAACTTCTATCACTTCTATAGTAAGTTTATCATCAAAGATTTAAAAAAATTTTAAAAATACAAAGACGAAAATGAAATGAAACCTTATATATATATATTCTTTTATGAATTTTGAAAACAAATTCATAAATAAATTAAAATGAGACGAAACTCAAAATACTAAATTAAAAATTTTATTTAAACTTTTTTTTTAAAAGTATTTTAACTTCGTTATATTTTTAAAATTTAAGAACTCAAATATAAACCTTAAATTTAAGGACTAAGAAATATATATAAAGATTAAAAATATAATAAATTTGAAATTTCATTATTAAATCTATAAAATATTTTTAAATTGAGATTTTATTTATTTATTTTTTTTAATTCTGTTGAAGAATGAACATTTACAATCATAATTGGTGCTTATCGAAATTTGCAATTAATAAATAAAATATAAAAACCATTTTATTTAATGTATTTTTAAATAAATTATAATAATGGTTTTAATGCAAGGAAAAAAAATATATAACGTGAACCTATTATTAAAATTTAGAAAAGAAAATTTAATAACGATTATTTTTGGAAAAAAAACAATAAATTAATAATAAAAAAAAAATCGATTCCAAAAATAGAATTTCCTTTCCTCAATGGAATCACCGAAAATCGTTACGTATATATTCATTTATGTTCGTTTCTTCTTCTTCTTATTCTTCGTCTTCGAATTTCTCCTCCGTCTATGGCTGATCTTCTTCAACCTCCATTTCTCTCCTCCTTCTTCCTCAACGCCTAACTCTCTCTCTCTCGCTCTCGCACTCTCTCATCTTCTCCATTTTCACCTCTATGGCTGCCCGCAGCGCCTTTCCGATCATATGCCGCCTCGCCTCCCCTTACAGGAGCCGTTTTCAGCTTTCCCCTTTCAATCTATTCTCCGACGCCCGATCCGTCACCTACATGCCGAGGCCTGGAGATGGAGCTCCGCGCGCGGTCACTCTCATTCCTGGAGACGGAATCGGTCCTCTGGTGACTAATGCGGTCGAGCAAGTGATGGAGGCGTTGCACGCTCCTGTCTACTTTGAACGCTACGATGTCCATGGTAATATGAAGCAGGTTCCTCGCGAGGTAATGGAGTCTATTTTTAAGAATAAGGTGTGTTTGAAAGGCGGCTTGATGACTCCGATGGGCGGTGGTGTTAGTTCTCTCAATGTGCAACTGAGGAAGGAGCTCGACTTGTATGCCTCGCTTGTTAATTGTTTCAATTTCCCTGGATTGCTTACGCGTCATGAGAATGTTGATATTGCCGTCATTAGGGAGAACACCGAGGGTGAATACTCTGGCCTCGAGCATGAGGTTATTCCTGGCGTCGTCGAAAGCCTCAAGGTAATATATATAAAATTGTAAATGTTTGTTGATTGTCAGATTTCTTGACCTGTTTGGAGTGGTATAGATGATTTGTAATATGGTGGTTCTCTGATTGATAGAAGTTATCTCTATTTCATTTTTAAAAGTTATCTCTGTTTCATTTTTAAAAATCTTGGAGATATACACAATCGTTCTTGGAATGAACAACGAACAAAGCTACAAAATGAATGCAGCAATGCATTAACAATAATCACTTGTTCAACCAGTTGTCTTTCTTAGGTTATCTGTTGGACGAGATCAATTTGACATATCTATAGCATTTTAGTCCGAACCGCCTATTCTTCAAGAATTCAAGCAAGCTTGCATGCAAATGTATACATACACTCTTGTGCTCAATGGTTCATACTCACAATTTGCCGATTATATTCCTCTTGCTCCTCATTTCAATGCAGTAACCTGAAATGTAGCCTGAATTACTGTAGGTGATTACAAAGTTCTCCTCAGAACGCATTGCCAAATATGCATTCGAGTATGCTTATCTGAACAACAGGAAGAAAGTGACGGCTGTACACAAAGCCAATATCATGAAACTTGCAGATGGGTTGTTTTTGGAGTCTTGCAGGGAAGTGGCAACCCAATATCCTATTATCCAATACAATGAGGTTATTGTTGACAACTGTTGTATGCAGCTTGTTTCAAAACCTGAGCAATTTGATGTAATGGTATGTAGCTTTCTAAGCCGATATTTGTTCCATTCTTGGGCATGTCCTTTTGTTTTTTCCTTCCCACCACATGCTAGAACGAAAACAGTATCCATTATTTGTGGTCCTTTAGTGGTTTTGAATTCCAGAGTCTCAGATAAGGTGTATAGTTTAGCTTTCTGGTCCCTGAAAAATGCTTATTCCTACTTTTGAAACTTGGAGCAAGGGGCAATCTGTTTCAAGCTTACAGTGTCTGCAGATTTCTTTCTTTGGGCATGACTATAAATGGCATGTATAGCTCATTACTTGAGTTGCTAGACAAGTGAATCAACAGTGATCTGGGACCCAGCACTTAATGCCCCGGTGATTGAAAAGGAACCCTGATCTTTCTCAATGAATGGGCCATGAGTCGAAATCTACATAGGCAACTTACCAGGGAAATCAATTTCTTGCACTTTTGCTGATTGGTTTCATATGGTGTGCATTGGCCATGCGATGTTTCTTAATTCGAAGGAAACCTGTGTTAAAAAACTTGGAGATTGGATTTAGAAATATCTTAGGCTTAGTATCTCTTGGGCTTCTAGTAATTGGAAAATTCTGTTAGATATGGTTAGATTTTGAAAGAAATATTTAGGATCCAAGGACCAAGAAAAGTATCTCTTATTTGGACTCCAAGAATCTCGTCTATGAGTTTGAATGTGGTAGAGCGAAACACTTGTCTTGTGAAATTAGTGGAAGTGCATGCAGGTTGGTTTATACTCACCAATGTTGTTAAAAAAAGTGTATGAGTTCCAATTCATCCCTGTTTTGCTTAATGCTTCTCTCTCTGTTTTTTTCCCCTTACAAGCAAGTTCCTCGCTCTTCTTTTAGATGGTTGTTATTTTGTTGAAGCTTATACTTCGTCTATTCTTTTCTGACCCAGGGCCTTTTTATTTGAAATTTTGCTAACAAGGTCCTTTTAATTCTTTGGATCAGGTGACTCCCAACCTTTATGGAAATCTAGTGGCAAACACTGCAGCTGGACTTGCTGGAGGCACTGGTCTCATGCCAGGAGGTACAATTACTATCCACTTTCTTTTAATCCACTCATAACGCCATATTATTACCACTACTATCATGACATCTCATGTCGGAGGGAGAGAAGAACGAAACACCTTTTATAAGGTTGTGGAAACCTTTCTCTGAGCAGACTTGTTTTAAAAACTTTGAGGGAAAACTCGAAATGGAAGTCCAAAGAAGACAATATTTGCTAGAGTTGTTACAAATGATATCAGAGTCAGATACTGAGTGATATGCCAGGGAAGAGGCTGTTCTTTGAAGGAAGTAGACACGTGGAGGTATGCCAGCAAGGACATTGGACCCCGAAAGGGGTGGATTTGGTAGGGGTCCCACATCGATTAGAGAAAGAAATGAGTACCAGCGAGGACGCTGGACCCAATAGGGGGGTGGATTGTGAAATCCCACATTGATTGGGGAGGAGAACGAGACATTTTTCATAAGAGTGTAGAAACCTTTCCCTAGCCGACATCTTAAAAACTTTGAGGAGAAATCCAAAAGAGAAAGCCAAAAGAGAACAATATATGCTAGCGGTAAGAACTGTTACAACTATATATGACAAAGTTTTACTTGAGATAAATATGGATGCCTTTTTAAAGTGTCGCCTCAGTTGGCATTTGGTAATGGATTGTTACAGGCAACGTGGGGGCAGATCATGCCATATTTGAGCAAGGAGCCTCAGCGGGGAACGTGGGGAATGAGAAAATAGTGGAGCAAAAGAAAGCCAACCCAGTTGCTTTGTTGTTGTCTTCAGCCATGATGCTGAGACACCTTCAGTTTCCTTCCTTCGCCGACAGGCTTGAGAATGCTGTGAAGCGTGTGATCATGGAGGACAAGTGCAGGACTAAGGATCTTGGTGGGAACTGCACCACCCAAGACGTTGTCGATGCTGTCATTGCCTTTTTGGACTAACACTGCCTTTTTCAGCTCACTTTCCACCTGCCAGGTCCTATTTATTTAATTCATTTTTCCCTTTGAAATTCGTTGTCAAATAATGCGAGGTTATTTGAGTTGAGTGGCGTTGTGTTGTGGAAAAGGAAAGAACTAAACCCATGACCTTCGAGCATCACTTTCATATGCATATACCAATTTTGTAATTTTAAGGCCTCGATAAGTATTTACCGCTTTCATAGTGATATCAATTTCATATATACGGTCCCTACACTAAATATTATATGCATGTAAGGCATCAAAGAGTCATAAAAGAAAAAGAACACGAATGTATAATATTTCATGTTGGAATGAATCATACATATATATGAAATTACACAAGTATAAATCCCCGAGACTAATTCATCCATCCATTAGATCAGTTAATACCGACTTTTGAAAGAAAACAATTTCAAACTTCACTAACTATATATCAAGTTTAAACTTTCAGATCCAATTAACATACTAATTTTAAAAATTTAAGAACGAAATAGAAAACTAAGTTAAAATTAGTCAAAAACTCAAAGAATATAATTACAGGAATTCTTCAAAAACACGCTAAATGTTATATGCATGTAAGGTCACCTTCTTCAATAAGTCCGGCGAGAAGTTACAGGAATTCAAACGACAGCTCGAAGTTCTCCGGTGAGAAGAGCAAATTTCCGGTGCTGCGAGAGAATAGGCTTGGTGACGGCGGCTTGTAATCTCGATGCCAATTCATCAGAGCCCGATCCATTTTCATCCATGGCAGCTCCCATCACTGTCTGCAAAATTTGCAGGGGGTCCCCATGGCTGATCACCAAGATGGCACACCAGCAAAACGCAACTCAACTTAACTTCTATCATTAAATTTAAAACTTCAACCTTTGTTAAGCAGCCAATTTCTAGAAGTTACCAACAAAATCTAACATAACCGAGCTTTAATCGACGAGATCGGACATTAGAATCCCTCGACCTCAATTTGTTATACTAAAAAACATTCTAACCACCATCCATCACCAATCACATTCCAAATCCCACGTCCCATTCAGGAGACTCATCTATTCTATTTCGATTCGTCATTTCAGCTTCAAAGGCAGGTGAGTCGAGTCATGATGGAGTTTGACTGTTGGGATTGGATTGGATCTAAAAGTCACCTATTAATGAAATCCTGAACCTACAATCTCGTGTCGATCGTGAGTCTAATATATCCCGTTAGACACTCATTAAAATATCTTATTAGACAAAATAAGTATCCAAACTATTGAACTATGTACAGGTCGATGATAGTGCTAGATAAATCTAAGTCGATAGGATTTTGATATAGGAGGATAAATATGGTATACCCTTGAAATTGTGACTCCATTTGAACCACTGCTTTGGCTAGTCTTGAAGCAACATCTTCAACGCTTTCTCCACCTTCAGGCCGCTTGAATGGATCTTCCTCATCAACAGCCCCAACTTCTTTGCACTGTTTTTGAAGAGAAAAGAAAACAGTCATTTCTGAAACATATTTGGCTGCCCGACCATTCTTTGGCCAAAAGAACAATCTGAAAAATTCTCCACAGCAAATCAAAATCAAACAAGAACCAAGAAAAACACCATATTCTAACAAGCCAAACAGCAAACGAAGAATAAAACAAGAGATCAAATAGACAGACTATAGAAGAAACGATGAGGCCCTTCTCATTGGGAATGCTCTTGCCTTGCCTGAGAATCCAATATCTGTTGCGTAGAAATGGCGCCGCTGCCATTCTCTCTAAACTCCCCTTCCCGTTTCTCTTCAGCCGTTCACACCACTACTGTTCTTCAATCGTTTCTATGAGTTTATTATTCTTTTTTTTTTTTTTTTTTTTAATGTAGTACACCCTTTTAAAGTTAGATTATGAGCTCATTTTAATTTTTGAGTGGCTTCATACTTATTAAAATCATATTATGAACACCTTTTTGGACCAATCCGAAAGTTAATAGAGTGTTATCACATATAAACTAGTACAACAATAAACGTCACGGCAATAGATGCCTATTACTAATAAACGTCACGCACAACATGTAGTCTATCGCTTGAACAAGTCTACTAGTGATGGTAGTCTATTACTACAATCACCGAAACACTTGTTCGACAATGCTTGCAATGTTTATTACTAATAAACGTCATTCACAACATGAAGTCTGTCTCTTAAACAAGTCTACTAGTGATGGTAGCCTATCACTATTGTCACTAATACTCTAGTTCAACAACGATTGCTATTATGATTAAAGTCTATCACAGGTAGAGTTATTTTAGAACATGTAGTTTGTCTCTTGTGATAAATGCCTATTACTAATAAATGTCATTCACGACATATAGTGGTCTAGCTCGTATCAATGATAGCTATCACTCATACACTAAGTTCAAGAACAGGGAGGAGAAAGGGATGGGTGTGCCCAAAGGCGACAACATGAAACTTGTAGATGGGTTCAAAGCCTGAGCAGCTTGATGTGATGGTAAGTAGCTTTCTAGGCTGATATTTGTTCCATTCAAGGTGCTTGTCCTTTTTTTGTCCTTTTGTTTTGGCTTTCCCACCATGTGAGACTGAAAAATGTGGCCCAATCTTTGTTTATTATAAAGGGACACTGTATTTTTTAAAGTTATCTTCAAATAAAAATAAATTGTGGTAGGTAGTTTATATCTTTCTTGAAAATGGAGATATCACATTTTTTCGGAAGAATTCGGTCAACTCAATCTAACCAAACCTAAAATTTGAAGAACCCGATCAACCCAATCCAACTTAAAGAATTCAGTCAACTCAACCTAACTAAACCTATGATTCGAAGAACTCGATCAATCCAACTCAACCAACCTTGTACGCTTTGAGTTGGGTTGGGTTCAAAAAATGAAAAACTTTATGGATTTGGTTTGTTTATAAGTTCATGTGAGATCCCACCTCGATTGAAGAGGGAAACGAATCATTTTCATAAGTGAGTAGAAACGAATCATTCTTCATAAGTGAGTAGAAACCTATACATAGAATACGCGAGGGGAAGCTGAAAAGCCAAATAGGACCATATCTACTCTCCTAATTTGGATTCAACCTAATAAAATTTATTGTTAATTTTTTTTTTTAAAATGTCTGATTAACCAGCTTTTTCTAAGGACACAAAACTCTCTGCAAAGACCTTGAAGATTCTAATAAAACCCTAGAGGGACCTAAAACTCAAAATCCATTAACACCACATAAAGCTTTTGATTGAATACCTAAATTCAATTTCAAATATTCACAAACTTATGTATTTGGTGACTCACAAATTTCCCCTGCTCCAGATGATCTCGCGGTGCTTTCCGCCTTCTGGTGATGTCGGCATCACACGAACGATGGAATCCAGCGGATCCTTGCGCGCGACTCGGTGGTAGAGATCGACGGATCGTGACCTTATCTCTAGTAGCTCCTCGACTGGACGACGGCGAGAACCGGCGGCAACCTCGAGGGAGTTCGACGAAGGAAAGGTCGTGACTTTGTTGATTTTAAATTGAGGGCAATTAAGTCATTTCACTTTAAATGCAAAAACATTATACAATTTCACGTTAGTCGGAGAGGTGAACGAAACATTTCTTAAAATAACGTATAAACCTTTTATACTCTTTAGTAGACACGTTTTCAAATCGTGAAGCTTACGGTGATACGTAACATGTCAAAATTGACAATATTTGCTAATAGTAGGTTTGAGTTGTTATAAGAGATATCATAACCAGACACCGAGCGGTGTGCCAGTGAGAACATTGACTCTCAAGGGAGTAGATTGTGAGATCTCGCATCGATCGGAGAGGAGAACAACTCACTTGCCCACAAGAAGAGTAGACTAACGACAATACCGAGCCAAAACAAACCATAATTACTAAATAAACATTATATTGATTAAAATATGATAAAAGAAATAATAAGGGACTTTCAAGATAAAATCTTGAAAGTTGAAGGACTAATCGTGTAATTATCTTAAAATAAGTTTTTCATTATATAATAATATATATTTTTTGACCTTTCGAGGACCATAGTTCTGATCCACGTGTCTTTCTGCAAGTTTTTAAGCATTACGTTCTTCAGCTCGTGAAATCTACTCGGAATTTGCAGCACAGTGAACATTTTGCGTCCATTTTTGGTTTTGATGAGCAAATATCAATGCATTTTCGAGGCGATTTGATGCTCTGAGCAGTGAAGCAACTGTATGAAATTGAGAACTGAAGATTTCTTCTTCCTTCCGATTCCACATGGCTCTCCCTACTTCATCGGAGCGGTTGCTATGAGCTAAGGTAAGAACGAATGCTTTTGATGCAATTTGATTTGGATTTGGTTAAGCTAATTTGCTTTTTCGCGAAGTGGTTCGCGTTTTAGTGTTAATTTCGAAATGGAGAATATGATCAGTTCGTGTTCTGTCGTTGAAATTGTTTTGAATTGCAAATTTGTTTCTGCTTCGTTTTTAATTCTATTTAGGTTTTCTCTGAGCTAATTTCGCGTTTTGAGAACTGATTGCTTCTTATTAATGATCGGTTTTTCTTTTCATCCTGCATCCTCGCGTTTTTAATCGCAAGAGATGCGAGCAAAAACTGGAAAAATAGAAGAAGCAAGACACTTGTGATTATGCTTCTCAAGTTTTTTTTGTTTCCCTTCAGTGTTGTAATGTCTTTCAATATGTGAGTAATGCTATAGCAGCCCAAGCCCAAGCCCACTTCTAGCAGATATTGTCCACTTTAGCTCGTTACATATCGTCGTCGGTCTCACAGTTTTAAAACGCGTCTACTAGGGAGATGTTTCTACATGTTTATAAGGAATATTTCGTTCCCCTTTCCACTGATGTGGGATCTCACAATTCACCCTCCTTGATGGCCCAGCGTCCTCGCTGGCACACCGCTCAAAACCTGGCTCTGATACCATTTGCAAACCTACCGCTAGTAGATATTGTCTGGTTTAACTTGTTACGTATCATCGTTTGTCTTATGATTTTAATACGCGTCTACTGAGGAGAGATTTCCACACCCTTATAAGGAATATTTCGCCCCCCCTCAAACCGAGGTGGGATCTCACAATCCACCTTCCTTGAGGGCCCAACATCCTCGCTGGCACACCGCTTGAAACCTGGCTCTAAAACCATTTGTAACAGCCCAAACCCACCGCTAGCATATATTGTCCGCTTTAGCCCATTACATATCGCTGTCAGTCTTACGGTTTTAAATGATTTGCTAGGAAGAGGTTTCCACACCCTTATAAGAAATATTTCATTCCCCTCTCCAACCGACGTGGAATCTCACAAATGCATTGGGTTTCGACCATTATCTCGGAGATTGTCTGAAGACGCTTTGGTTGGCTTTAAGCTTGGCACTTCATTTCCATTAACCTATGTCAAAGTACGTTCTAGGAATAAATACCTCCATCAGTCTGTTCAAACCACTCAAACAAAAGATAAACTTCGAAAATGAATAGAAGTCACTGTCTAGAATCTTGCTGATAAAGTGTCAAAGGTTAACATTGTATTTTATTGATACTGTGTATTACAAATTTAAAGGCATATTCTTGCATAATGTTGGAAATGTGGAACTGCTGCAAAACTCGCTTGGGACAGTTTGTGTTTGTATTATACTGGCTGATATCTAATATTTCTTGTGTTCTTTGATTTTATTACCTAACTGTGAGATCTCACATCGGTTAGTGAGGAAATCGAAACATTCTTTATAATAGTGTGGAAACCTCTCCCTAACAAACGCATTTTAAAACCTTGAAGGGAAGCCTGAAAGGGAAAACCCAAAGAGGACAATATCTGCTGTCGGTGGGCTTGGACCGTTACACTAACTATTTAATGTTATATTGTTTGACGTCTAACAATTTACTGCAAACCTTAAGCTTAGTTGTTATTGGCTTCTTCTATAAATTCATAACCTATTATGGGCCTCCAAGGTGGGTAGACTGTGAGATTTCACATCGGTTGAAGAGGGGAATGAAACATTCTTTGTGTGGAAACCTCTCCCTAGTAGACACATTTTAAAAACCTTGAGGGGAAGCTCGGAAGGGAAAACCCAAAGAGAATAATATAGAATAATATTTTTTAACGGTGGGCTTGGACTATTACAGATATATTATCCGTCATGATATGTATTGTTCATAGGATAACATTTGTTGTTCATATATCTATGGGTATCTTTTGAGTGTTCATTTGAATTATACTTATTCTAAATGGTTATATATCCACGCCCTTACACTTATTGTTCATATATCCATGTGTATCTCGATCTAACTACTATCAAAATTGTCTTGTTTCTGTTTCTTGATCTCTCTAATATTTGTATTATGTATCTCTTCAAATTTTTAAACATTTCAGATGGTTCAGAAATCCATAGACTCCAAATTAAGTGATTCTGGGAAGGAAGCGCCTGCTCATGAAAATCAACTGCAGATTTCTGCCAAGAAGACAGCATTAAGAGACTTGCAAAATGATAATAGGCTCGCAGCTTCCAACTGTACCGGAAGAGGTCCGAGCAGCGAGTTCATTGAAGTTTCTAGTAACAATAAGCCCTCTCCCGTCTTCACAACGAGTCCGCCTCGTCTCCTTTCTTCGACTTCGAATACCACAAATGGGCACCTCGTTTATATCCGTAGAAAATCCGATGCAGATATAGCAAAAAGTAGTCCTTGTGATAGTTCAAGCATAAAAGCTGATTATCAGAGTAAACTTGGTCAATTAGCTGAAGCTGTGCATCTAAAATCCCAGGTCAAGGAGTTACAGAACCATTGCTTCCCTGCATTTTCTTCTTCTACAATGGTTTCTCCCATGAATGCACACGGTAAATCTTCAGTTCCTCACAAGTATGGCATTAATTTAGCCACAGCAGAATCAGACTTTGATTCTTCAGGATGGAAAAATTTGCAGTGGGAACACAGATATCATCAGTTGGAGTTGTTATTGTATAAATTGAACCAATCAGATCAACAAGATTATCTTCAGGGTATGTTCATTTAAGAAAGTGCTTCATCTTATTCCTGAAATAGTTTGAATGAAACTTATTTACTTTTTGAATGATTTTACTTTTTTTTTTTTTTTTTTATCAGTGCTTCGATCGTTGTCATCAGTTGAACTTAGCAGACATGCAGTTGAATTGGAAAAGAGATCCATTCATCTCTCGTTTGAGGAAGGTAGTTTGATTTGATATCTGTATTACCTACTTCACTTTCCTTTTCTGTGATCCTGGGAAAATTATTATAGTCTGCAAAATGAGTTGTTGACAAAATGTTATGTTTGATTCAATTATTTTTGTTCATTGCGGTCTTGTGTGTTTCCATATTACTTTGAACTTTTGACTTTCCATGATGATTTTTCTTCTTTGGGCTGAAGAAGTTTGGATGTGGACATCTCTAAGATTGGATAATATGTTAGTTGAAACCTTATCCCTCCTTATCTTAAGCTTCCTCTCTGTTGGATTTCGACTTGCAAGCATAGAAAGAAGTATATTATAACAGCTCAAGCCCACCACTAGTAGATATGGTTCTCTTCGAACTTTTTCCTTTCGAGCTTCCCCTCAAGGTTTTTAAAACGCATATACTAGGGAGAGGTTTCCACACTCTTATAAACAATGCTTCGTTCTTCTCCCCAACCGATGTGGGATCTCACAATTCACCTCCCCTTTGGGGCCTAGCATCCTTGCTTGCACTCGTTCCCTTCTCCAATCAATGTGGGACCCCTAATCCACCCTTCTTCGTTGCCCAGCGTCCTTGCTGGCATACCGCATCCTGTCCACCCCCTTTCGGGGCTCAACCTCTTCGCTGGCACATCGCCCGGTGTCTGGCTCTAATACCATTTGTAACA